GTCTTCCCAAATGGACTTCTTGTTACTCAATTTCAATGGATTTACATGGCCACAAGGACTTATCTAGTGTTTGCACCACCTGATTTGTCAGTTTGCATTTCTCTATGTAACACTATACTTATACAGATGCCCCATGACCTGCCAGTCATGCTGGTGTGACTGCCATTACAGGTATTTTAACCCAATTGTTAGTAACAGTTGCCATAATATGAATATTACATAGATGATTATCCAAATTTTCACTGTCAATGGGATTTGAACACCCAATCTACCACTTGGAGGGTTGACAACCTGATCACTTCACTAGGTCGCCACACCCCGTTATAAACAATTTTACTTAGAAGGCCAGAAAAGGTTTACTTAATAAATTATTTAGTTATTGCCAGTTTATTATTAGAGAATTTTGGTACAAGTGATCATTGGAAAGAGTTAATGATTTGCATCCTAAAATTATTTATTATTATTATTATTATTTATTATTTTATTATAATAATCTGTTAAAATCTTATTTTATTTTTATTTATTTTATTATTTTATTATTATAATTAATAATATTATTACTTTTTAATTACAATGATCTATTAAAATTTTATTTTATTTTTATTTATTTTATTATTTTATTATTATAATTAATAATAATAATATTTTTTTATTATAATGACCTATTAAAATTTTATTTTATTTTTATTTATTTTATTATTTTATTATTTTATTATTTTTAATTAACATTTTTATTTATTTATTTATTTCTATCAGATTAGAATATTTTTATTAAAAATTTTGAAGATAAATATTCTATTTATTATTTTTATTTACTGTTGTTCTTTTTAGTTATATATAAATTTTCTGTTTGATCAGAAGATTTGTTAGTATATATCAAATTTTAATAATATACTATTGGCATCTTATTAATTTATATAGTAATTTAATAAAATTCTAGTGGCATACTACTAAAATATTGCTTATACTAATACTATTTCTTAGTATTAAGTTTTTCATTAGTTTTATTTTATTCTGTCAGTTATCAGTTAATATCTTTTATTTGAACATTCATATAATTTTGGTCAATAGATATAAGATCTTTATTAAATAATATATTTAAATTTACTATTTAAGTTAAACATTTTAGCATTAAATTTATTAAGCCTTATTTTGTATTTAGTTTTAAAGGTTTTTTATTTAGTTAGTGTATTTAAAACTGCTATTTAGGTTTATAATATTTACTATTAAACATTATTTTTTATTTAATTTTATCTATATAATTACAGTTTAATAATACTTTACTATTATATTTAATTAGATTTATCTATGTATAAATATAAAATCTTTTATCAATTAGTGTATTTAAAGTTAATAAGCTTACTTGACTATTTAAATTATTTTTTACTAATTAAAACTTGGACTTTAATCTATTAATTAGGTGCTTAAAAGTACTCTAATTTATTTGTATTAATTTTGCTAATAAGTATAGAAACTTTTAATGATCAATATATTTACTTTTACTATTTAATTTACAGAATTTATCATTATAAATTCTTCTTATTAAAGATCTTTTATATTTAATTTTGTATTTTATTTTTAGAGTTTACTATTACAAATCTTTCTCATTTGATTTTATTTATATAATATTTTTATTATAATGCTTATTTTTTTTGTTTTGTTCAATTTACTATTTAACATTAATGCAGCACTTAATAAGACCTAATAATATTACAATTCTAAACAATATTTAGTAAGTATGAAGGTCTTTTATTTATCAGCATATTTAATTTTGTTACTTAAAGTTTGTATAATTTATAATCTTACAATATCTCTTATTTAGATTCATTTGCATTATTTTATATTAATATTTTTATTATCATACTAATCATATTAATTTACTACTTAACTTTATATACATTTTCAAATATAATGTAAATTATCTAAAGATATCCAAAACACATCTCTTTTGTGAATTAGTACTAATAAGTAATAAAATAATAAAATAAAATAATAAAAATCAAGAAAATAAATCTAAAATAATAGTACTAGTAAGTAAAGAATTCAAGTAATTAATTAAAAGTTTAAATAATTCAAAATATATTTATTAGCTAGTAAGTAATGTCAAAAATCAAAAATCAAAATCAAAATCAAAATCAAAATTATTTCAAAAATCAAAATTTTAAAGATAGAAGATAAAAGCATAAACTTCTTTAATTCCAAAATATAAAATACAAAATACAAAATAATTCAATTCAATTTGAATTAGTAGAGGTATATCTAAAATAATAATTTTAAAATTTTAAAATGTTTTTTCATAATTGTTACTTTCAAAATAAAATTCTTTCTAAAGAGTGAATTGTTTTCTAAGATAGTTTTTTTAAGAGAAATTTATGTTTTTTTCCTATAATATTTTTAACTTTCTTGAAATAATTTTTAACTTTTTGACAGAAGATACTAAAATGTTAAAAGGTTGTAATCTTCTTGATACAATATAACCAAGTAATAAGGTTATTCAGTACAGTGATTGATTATTATAAATATATATGTGATAAAGGTATAGTAATTCATTTTACTATATAGTAGCAGGCAAACAGTTCAAGATAGTAACAGTATATAGATTAATTTTTATTAAATAAATACATAGTGACAACCTTACTTGTAGAAATTATTCTAAAGAAAGAATATCACTTTTACAAGTTAGGGATAAAGATAAAAAGGTTTAGATCAAAGTATAGAAACTTAGAATTAGCAAAGAAGGGAAAAAGATACTCTTTATATATCTTTTTAACTAACAAAAATAGTAGAAATTTGAGTAATATTACTTAATACTATATTTAAGGTAATGGAGATTCAAACAACATTAGATATCATTGTACTTAGAACAATAGAGATTTGAACAACATTAAATGATATTGTGTTTGGAATAGTGAGAACTGTATAGAGACAACTAGAATATTGTTTATATCATTTGTTATTTGTGTTTAAAACATTTGGAGCTTGTGTTTAGACATTTAGATTCATGTAAAAACACTTGGGATTGTATAGAAATACTTAGGTTTATGCAAAATCACTTGGAATTCAAGTTAGAAATACTTGGAATTCTTCTGCTATGATATATAAAACAGTAATTTGGTGGTGCTAGAATATATAAAACTTGTATAGAGATACTTAGAGTTTATAAAATGATAGTAACATCACAGATGTTACTCAGTGTCATGTGACTGTACCATGTTTCTAATAGCCAATTAAGATTCTTTTTATCTATCTACTATATAATATAATTATTGATTAACTAATAACTAATAATAAATATAATATAATATATAAAATACAATAATAAATATATATCAGATAAATAATTACTAATACTACTTTATAATATACTATGCTAAATTCTACTTTATAACAGTATATTGAATGTTTTCTAATAGATATGATGCCTCTTTCAGATATTTGTAATGGAACTTCTTTATAGTTAAACTTTGCACTTGCTTTTATATTTTTGTAAGCAAAAACTTGGAAGTCTATATGGAACCCAAGTGTGATTGATTTTCATAACCATGATATCAGATTTGGCTTACAGGGTAACATCTTAATTACTTTCTACCCATCTGACCAGTTTGATATTCATCACAACCTTTTGTCTTCTACTTTTATAGCAAATGAGTTTAAAATCCTTGTACTATTAGAACTGTTTTATTGGTAAGTAATCTATTGATTGATATTTATGAGCCTTGTGTCTTATTATTGACAGTACATTATCTGCATTGAATGCAGTGTCTTGTGTTGTCAGATTTACTATCCTTCTGTTGATTGTAGAAGTGGGTGGATAATTATCTTGAATAATGTCATTTCTTGTTTCTGCAGATGAACATATTGTTATAGGTATTGTGAGATTGCTCTGCTTTTCTTCTGTAGGTTGGTTGTTATTAAGATCTGGTTCACCATCCATTAATCCAACTTGTTCCAGTTTATTAAGACGTTCGTTTATTGTGGTTTGTATTTGCTCATTCCAATGTTTCTGGTTTTCATTTTGCTGGTTTATCAGTTCTTTTACTTTTTCTATGAGGACTGCCGTGGTTGCTTGGCATGCACTGTCAATGTACTTCTTAATCTGCTGGTCTATATTGATGCTGGTTCTTTAGGATCATTATCCATTTTTTTTTTTTTTTTTTTTTTACTTCGAAGAACTTCCTTGTTTCCAGGCTTGTTACCGAGGTAGCCTTCGTTCGTTGTTTAGTGTATTTATGCCTCCCTTATCCTACCGCTATTGTTTGTTGTCTTATTGTCCTCATGTTGCCGGCATGTGTTATTCGAATATGATTCTCACCTTCAATCGACTTCCTTATTGCGGATTTGGTGTGACGTCTGCCTTGTTCCTGGTGTTTGTGGCGAGTTGTGTGGCCGCTTCTCTTTTCGACCACGTGATCTACCATCACTTCGCATTAAATACCTATGAATAAAACTTTATTTATCATAAAACCACTATAATAAGAGCCGAGATTTTTAATAAATTCCTGAATAATCTAAAAACTCAAAAGATTCCGAAAAATTCCCATATGAAATTCGAAGAAATTAAAATTTACACATCACTACATATAATATCCTCGTCCTGTTACACACAGCGCCGAAGCCGCCATATACACATGTACTAGTTATATGTATTAAATGATGAATTTATATAAAATAAAAATTCATTTGAGTTAAATTTT